TCCGCGCTGGAACGAGAAACTGTAGTCTGCCGTTTGGAGGACCAAGACACCAGATTGTCACCAAGAAAGACATAGTATCCAGACGTAGACCGCCGAGAATCAGGACAGCCAGCCCAATCAGCATCCGAGTATGCTGTGAGAGTGTCAAGAGACCCGGTACCGAGGTGAAGACCTGTAGACAGTGTGCCCTTGACGTATCGCAAAATCCGCTTGAGCAGCGCCAGATGAGGTTCACGCGGAGAATGCATAAAGAGACAGACCTGTTGAACGGCATAGGCAATGTCGGGACGAGTCAATGTGAGGTACTGTAAACCGCCAGCGAGACTCCGGTATTGTGTTGGATCGGCAACTGGTGAGCCATCGGTGGTCGACGGTTTAATGCGATGCATCGATCGGGTGGTGAGAGTGACACTCAATCATACCAGCCATTGGAGAAGATCAATCGCATCATCCGCCATTGTGGACAGAAAAGGCCATCGCCAGAGCAGTGATGAGAAATCCCGAGGAAGTGATGAAGGTCCCCGAGATCAGTAATGGCAAACTCTGAGTTAAGGCGGTCAGTAATATGTCGAAGAAGAGCAGGCGAGGATGCTGTGAGGACAATGTCGTCGACGTAAAGCAATGTGTAAGCAACATTGGTGCCCTCCTTGAACACAAAAAGAGAAGTATCGACACAAGCGACGAAGCCCAAGGTCCGAATGAAGGTAGCGAATCGCCGGTGCCATGCCCGGTGCCCGCTTGAGCCCATACAAAGACTTCTGTAACAAGCAGACATGGTCGTCGTGCGGTACCGGGTCGACGAATCCGGTGGTCGCTAGCGAGAAATGATCTCATTCAGATGACCATGAAGAAAGGCGTTCTTGACATCCAAGCGATGAATCGCGGGCATGAGACGCAGCAATGCTGAGAACAACCCGAATCGTTGCTGGCTTAACAACTGGATTGAAAGTCTCTTCGTAGTCGATGCCATACTGCTGAGAAAATCCTCGAACCCACAAAGCTTTGTGACGAGCAAGAGAGCCATCAGAGTGATACTTATGCTTGAAAATCCACTTGCCGGAGACAATGTTGGCACGAGGAGGCCGTGGTACGAGTCGCCAAGTGCCATTGTCAACAAGTGCCTTGTATTCATCCACCATTGCGGCCCGCCAATTTGGATCAGCAAGGGCGCTGCGATAATTGGCAGGAAGCGGTGAGGCATGCGTGGCGGAGTAAGTCAGGCGTTCCGGCGGAGGCGGGAGCGTTCCAGTCTGTTGCCGTGTCACACGGCGCGATGGAGCAGCAGGGACCGGCTCAGGTGCGTGAGCCAGCTGAGGCGCCGGTGGAGGAGGCGCGACCTGTGCCTGGGGCACAGATGACGGTCGAGGACGCCGGCTGTACTGGAAGAGCACCGACGGACGTGATGCAACAGGAGCCGGCAGACGTGCTGCTCCCTGAGCAGCAGACAGGACGTCAGCAGCAGAGGACGCGCCAGGGGCTGCCGGTGTAGGGGCAGCAGTACCCTGAAGGACCGGACCGTGCTAGAGGATGGCCAGGTCCAGTGCCAGGGTGTCGTCGTCGTCGAAGGTCGGCCGAGTAGAGAGCCGGCCCGGAGCGCCAGCAGGAGGAGCTGGCACAAGTGCAGGAAGACGATCCTGTAATAAAAAATCAAGTGACTCCATAGGTGGTTTGGCAACCGCAAACGGAAAGTGAGTCTCATCAAAAATCACGTGACGAGAGACGATGACTTTGCGAGTGGAGAGATCGAGACAACGATAACCCTTTTGTGAAGAGGGATACCCGATGAAGACGCAAGCTGATGAGCGAGGAGCCAATTTATGAGGTGTCGTGGCACTAAGATTTGGGTAGCATAAGCAACCAAAGACTCGAAGCAAGGAGTAGTCAGGCATCTTGTGATAAAGGAGGTGATAGGGAATACAATTATTGATGGAGAAAGACGGTCGCCGATTGAGTAGAAGAACGGCGGTGGCTAAGGCTTCAGCCCAGTAGGCTGAAGGCATGGCGGCATGAATCAAGAGGGTGCGAACGATATTGTTTAGCGTGCGCAATATCCATTCAGCTTTCCCATTTTGAGCAGACGTGTAAGGGAAAGAAGTGCGAAGAAGAATGCCGCGGCTAGCAAGGAAGGTAGACGTGGCATTGTTGATGAACTCAGTGTCGTTATCCGCCTGAAAACACTGGACAGGCAGGCTGAATTGGGTGTAAGCATAATTAGTAAAATCAACAATATGTGCATGAACCTCTTATTTATGCCGAAGAGGAAACGTCCAGCAATAATGACTATAATCATCAACAAGCACAAGATAATATTTAAATCTAGACACGCTAAGAACTGGAGACGTCCAGACATCACAATGAACAAGTTGAAAAGGTGCTGAGCAGCGAGACGATGAACTAGTAAAGGGCAGCCGTGTGTGTTTGCCAAGTTGACAGGCGTGACAAATACCACGGGCTGCATTATTACAAGAGATAGTTGAAAGTTTATTAAGTGTAGCTATGGCTGCAGGTGCTGGATGACCAAGACGTGAATGCCACAATGAGGAGATGGCGGCGACATGACAGGCTGCAGCAGGCTGACTGGAATGTGGAAGGGTGTAGAGCTCCCTGCCACTATTGCAACGCAGAATCTCGGTCTTGGTCTGCAGATCCTTAACAGAGAAGCCAAAAGCATCAAACTCAATGGAGCAGTTATTGTCGCGAGTAAACTGACGAACAGATAACAAATTTCGAACAAGATGTGGAGTGACAAGAACATTATTGAGTTGAAAAATATGATCAGCTATAGGAAGAATGGAAGTGCCACGACTAGAAATTGGAATGGAGGACCCATTGCCGACTGTGATGAAGGACGGCGAATGAGGTAGATGGGAAAGAAGTATACCGTCGTGGGGGGACATATGAGATGTAGCTCCTGTGTCGAGGACCCAGGGGCTAGCACCTCCCTGCAGTGCCATCTGGTTGAGGGAGGCAATGAGAGCGCCCTGATCCCAGCCACCGGACGTAGAAGGCGGTGCGAAGGACGTGTGGGCCTACGGCAGAGGTGCCATTGGAGGACGCCACTACGGCTGAGGAGCCCACGGGTTCATGCAGACCCAAGGACCAGTCGGCTGGACGCCGGGGCCGGGACGCCCGCCCAGGAGGCCCAGGGACGCCGCGGGTGGCTGCTAGTGTCGGCTGCCACCGGCGTTGTTGCCTCCACGCGCACCGTAGCCGCCCTTGCCCTTGCCCTTGCCGCCGCCTCCACGCGCACCATAGCCGCCGTCGTTGGGGTTGGTGCCAGAGGACGAGGAGCGGCAGGAAGGGGAGGTGCAGGCTGTGGTCGCTGAAGTCGTGGACGGGGCGACGGCAGTAAGGGCGGTGTCGGAGGAGACCTTGGCGTCGTTGGCGAGGCGGATCTCCTTGAGCCGAAGGGTGTTGTGTGCGGAGATGAACGACGGAAGGACCGCCGCATTGGCGATGATGTCCGCCGTGTTGGCGAAGCGCAGATTGAGGCCGCAAAGAAGGTTGAGGACCAGCTGGGGCTCGGAGACGGTGTGGCCAACGTCGCGGAGAGCGTCGGCCGTGTGCTTCATGCGCTGGGCGTAGGCGTCGATGGACAAGTCATCCAGGTCATAGAGTGGAACTCTTGACCTAGGACGACAGCCGCGTGTCTCTGGTTTGCTCGAAGCAGTTGGTAATGGCAACAAAGAGATCACAGGCGATCCGCTTTCAGTTCCATGGCGAGGTCGAGGACGCCGTCGTCGATGCGACCATACATCCAACTCCGGACGCAAGCATCCGGTCGTGACCATGTGCGTCGATGGGGCGACGTGCCGGGATGGAGCCGTCGATGTGGCCAAGTAGGCCGAACTTGCCGCACATAGCGGTGAAGAAGGCAGACCACTTGGTGTAGTTCGGCAGCTTGAGATCAAGGGTGATCGGCACGTGCTGGCGCACGTTGATGGTCGCGTAGGAGAAGATCACAGGAGCAAGGGCGTCTGTCATGGCCGGCATGGATGGTGATCCAGAGATCCCGGAGGTCGCGGTCGAGGAGGATCCATTGGTGGCCATAACAGGGGGGCGCCGAGAGAGGTGGTAGGGGGGGCGGCGCCGGGAGAGGTAGGGCTAGGGCAGCGGAAGAGAGGAACCCTAATTGGCCCGGTCTATGATACCATGTAGAGAGATAATGCACCGCACACCCAGTTAGGGGGGTGGCCTTTCATATATATAGCCGAGAAGTCTTGGAGTACAAGTATATGAAGTACAATACAAGTCAAGCTATACATATCTATTTATATCTCTAATACAGGTGAATACATATAAAATCATTGTTTGCTCCACAAAGAATACAACTTCTGGAATAATCTCAATAATGACCGAGTATCCAGAATCTAAGGGTGGTTTACATCAGACAAGCATTCATGGTAAACAGATTTCAAGAACAAAGGAATATGATGACCCAGCTACATCTTATAATAAGTTGCTCACCCTTGTCATTTGGTAACATGATAATCAGCCACAACTATTTCAGAAAAATATTGAGGAACCACGATGAAATGGGAATAAAGAACATTATGATGCCATTACAAATGAATGTGCTTCTTACTTTTGACTTCCTTGCAGGTGATGCAGCTGTAGCCTCATGCTTATTGACACCACTTGCAATAACTGATCAAGAAAAAAAAACTAAGGATCATAATTTGCAACACAATAGTATAGATGAGGCACCTATATCACTCAATAAGGTAGCAATTCTTACAGAATTGGGTATGGTCACAAGAATGAAAAGAATGGGCACGAGGGCAACGGAAGAAGCAAGCCTTGAAGTTAAAACTGCTTGATCCCGTCAAAAAATTTCATGCCAACTACAATTGGTTAGTACAACAGCCTGTATTTACGCTGGTCAGTGCCATTGCTTTGCAATCTCCTCATCGAGGATTTGGCAAGCCTGCCGCCTAGAACTGTCGTCCAGAGTTCTATTGCTCATCAGTAAACTGCGTAGTGCTCGCAGTTCATCACAATTAGCCGCTGGAAGAGCCCCTCAGTGCAATAAGCAATGGATCCTGAGGTGGCATATTCTGATTGTCTCGATTCTCAATTGTAACATGGGACCTTGATCGCCAGTACTCTGTACAGACGTGATCTCTGTCCCGAGCCTCAATTGCCTGACGTTAAATTCCAAAAAATGTCAATTAGAACCATAAAAGAGCATTTCCATCATGTGTAACAGTAACAGTGTGTTGCATAGAATAATGTCAAGTGAATGCCAAGCATTAATGCCACACCTGAACTATTGCTGGTGTTAACAACCCAAACATTTCATGACCATCAACTGATCCTGGAGGCTGTAGTGTAGGAAGATTAGCTCTTCCCATATTGAGCTGCCTCCTTATTTCCATATTAAGCCTTTCACGAACCATGTTCCAGCACTTGGTAGGAGAGATGTTTATGAAAAATTCGCCAGGACAGTTTTCTACAGTCACCTGTAAAGGCAATAAAATATCAAGATACTGAAGAATGGATATAAATATATGGAAGGCACAAAAAACGAAAAAATTTTACCATAAAAAGAGGTCCCTGCTGTCCAGCGTCCAATATTTCAGATATGTAGTATGTCATTTGTACTGGATCTACAACACTGAAGTATTTTACTCTGCTCTTAAACCCTGCATTTGCAAAGGGAAAACATGCTAGAAGAACATAGCAAAATATGAAACAAACTGCAGATGAAATTCAAATCTCTGAATGAAGGTATTCAGATAAGTAGATAACAATAAGGAAACATTCCAATAGTATGGTAAAATCCAGAAGTGTTCACCCTGATATCATAAATGCTCAAGATGTCTAGAGAGAGGTACATCAATCTGCCAAAACAAACCTTTTGGGAAGATTGCTTGACTTGAGGACCACAACTTCCCAGATAGTACAACACCAATTTCTATAGGTTCAACAGAGCACTTGAATCTATGTACAACGTTAGCTATGCGAGGACCCTTCTGTGCAACTCCATTTCTGCTGTGATTTTCCAGAGCAGGCTGCACTACCATAGCTGAATGGCCCCTAGCTCTAACTTCCACACTGGATAGAGAATCAGATTGTCTTTGATGCCATCTCTCATTTAGTTGCTGATTACCAACAGTTGGATGCCCAAGGTGGGCACTGCCTGAACCAAAAACACCATATCGTTTTTCACAACTTGAGGATCTATGAGTTGCTTTGGAGCAGTGACACTACACAATGGTTCCTGAGACACATTTTGTGTTCTTGAAGTAGTATTGACAAACTGCTGGCTTGCAGTACGGGCCTGATTGCTACCTTTCTCAGTCATCACTGAGGTATTAGTTTCAGTGTTAAGAATGTTTGATCCTTGTAAGAATGACATAGAGTTGCATTGAAGTCTGATGATGCCATCAACCTATGAGAATTGTCTAAGTTTTCCAGATCTGGCTTCATGTTAGCTCCATTATCAATCATTGACACTGGCCTGTTATGATACTCCCGAAGTGTAAGTGAAGATGTACAGTCTCCAGTTCGGGAAGAGGTTTCTCTACTCTCTTTAGATACTGCCAAGACATGCGCACTTCTCGTGGATTCACCTGAAGTAATTAAGGGTCTTATCACAGCATGTGCAGGAAATGATTGACCAGAAGGAACCATCAAGCTTGGTGCTGCAACTTTGTGGCCTCCAATCCCTCCATTATGTTGTCGGCTGGTACCATTGCTGGTCGGACATGATAATTCATTCTTCACACATGGCTCCTTTAGCTGTGAGACATTTTCTGATTTTATCTGCTTTGTCAAAGGACACGCACTATTTGCCTCCGGACTTATTTTAAGTAAATTCGTACCTGGACAACCTAAATCCAGTGTCTTATTTTCATTGCTTTTCTGTTCAGTGCTAACAGAAGAAGGAACCAACGATACTGTTGATGCCTGTGACATGTAGGACCGTCTTGGGCCATCAGTTAATCTGCGAACAGTCTTGGAATCTTGGACCTTTTCCCGTTTGACACACAAGCTCAAACTTAATCCAAGATCAGAGACACCCCATCTGTGAATGGCACTTAGCTTTCCCCCTAAAGCATCAGCTAAGATATTCAACTCATTGACATCATAACGAAATAGGAAAAACCTTTTGTTCCAATCACATGAGCAAAGCTGCTTTGCATGTACCAGGCAAGCATATTTCTCTGGGGAGCATGGACAGCCAGAAGCTGAAAGATGCAGATCATAGTAGCACAATGCACATTCCCTATCAGTAGAATCAAATTCGGGCATCCATTTTCCTAGATTGACATGGAGAGGATACATTTTGTCTTTGTGCCAACTCCATTTCAATTCGTGCCTAAGTAGAGTAATTTAAAAAATATTAGATTCCACTGAAATTGAAACAACTGACACTAATTACGTAGTTATATATTGTGGCTAGCATTTACCTTCAGTGACTTGCATATTGTGCTATCAGGTCCACATATGCTTTTCCACCTCAAGTTATCAGCAGAATTCCTCTTGAGAAATAAGATGTCCCACTGAGCTCTTATTGCTTCTCTTGCAGCCCCAAGCAACAGCTTATCATGGGAGATAGTTATTTTCCGAGCTTGTTCACGATAAAGCTCAACAGCATTTTGTCCAACTGGCAACCAATCAATGGGTGCCACATTAACAGCTTCTGCACAATTGAAGCCACAATTAAAACCAGCATGGTATGCCCATGGGAATGTCAGGACAAACTCTCCCTCATGCTGAACACAACGGTAGACTGGTACTCCTTCAGATTTAAGCAATGATGGTGAAAACTGAGTAACCTGCAGAAGGAATTAGCATTTTCATTTAGGAGTATATCTGATTGTAACTTGCATATACGAGGGAAGAATATTGTTTTAAATGCCGTGCAAAAACATAATCACAGAATAGCCACATAAGCATAATCCATAGTTAACCATTATCTGGGGAAGCTTATATACCTGAAACTATTGTTTGAGACAAAAATCACCAACCAAGAGAAAAACTTACTAGATTGTGAAGCAAATCAGGTTGCTCCTCAAACAACTCAGGAAGATGTTTCCTCATTGCAGCCTCCAAATTCACAGCATCCTTTCCTGGAACTCCATACCACACCTTTGGAGCACCCCAATGCATGTAGTTCAGTGAGTACAAATGATGATCTTCAACATGCTGTCAACAGGCACAATTCAATCAGTGAAATATTTCAGGATGGATACCATAAGTCCATAACAAAGCTTCCATAATCAATAGCATCAATCACAAACTATGAAACTAAAGAGAATATCACAAGCATCTTACCCAGCAGAAAGATGAAAAACACATGCCGACATAAAGCCAAGGCACTAAAACACCAGAAATGTCGCCGCCTTCAAAAGAAAGAACTGAACCTTGTAGTCTAGGCAAGTTATTTAGATTCCACCCAGATTGTGCATATTTATCCTCCACATCAGATTTCATTTCAGGACATAACTTTGGAAACCCGCTGCCAAAAGTTCCAGTCTCCAAATCGGCACCATATATTACCTATATGAGAATGGATTTTCTGACCAGTTAGAAAGTAGCATAACTATTTCTGTATATGTAAACACAGACGCTACCAAGTAAGATATCACATGCAAGTGCTATGACTATTTAGAACTACAAGCATGTCAGGAATCATATACAGCAGTAACAGCTGAACTGCAAACTAAACAAGAAATTCTCTAACAGGGCCATTATTGGAAAATGTCAAAAATCCAGGACTAACACAATTGCATTTTCAGAAGTTTAAATGCAATGGGCATAGATACTGTTTGCTAAGTTTTTTGATACCTCTATCTCTTCTGTCGGCCTTTCAACTATGCGCCAATACTCGCCTTCAATATCTTCCACTGACGGTGGTGAATCTCTGCATTTATCTTTCATAAAATACTGATCACTGAAGTCATCTGCATACTTCTGAAACATCTGTAGCGTGAACTCTGGTCCTGGTTCAAATCCAAATTTCTCTTGGTTTTGCTGCATTCCAATTTGATTGTGATTGATTTCTTCAGTCTCTGAAATCTTTCTACGCTTCTTCATCATTCCACCTCTTCTGCTCTTCTTGGACGATTTACGATTTTGGAGCTTGTCAACCTTCTGTACCCGAGTAGAAAATTTTGAGCATTCCCAAATGTTTTTCTCTTTAAGAAGGCATGGAGGCTTCCATGAAGCTGGTGGAACAATACGGCATATTCCATATGGTTCTGCCGTTGGGCGGATACTCTCAATGTATTTTAAGGTGTCCTGGAATTCCTGATCCATAAGAAGATATCATAAGATTAGTGTGTGCAAAAACAAATTCAGTGCAGTGAAAGTACTGATAGCAACAAACCTCCTCGGTAGGATAGTAAACAGGAGCCTCATCAAGAACAGGCCTACGTGCACCAGATGGATTCCATCTTGCAATAACCTGCATGATGTGACGTGATATAAGCAACAAAACACCTTTGTGGAGGCCATCCATCAATTTTCAGAATTACACAAACCTTTTGACAATTGGCACAGTCTGGACATCCTCGAAGTACTCCTTTAGGGAATTGTTGTCTATGTTTCACTGAACTAACACCCTATCCATAGAGTTGAGCAATATTGTACGAGGCATTAACATCATGATAAAATTCAGGTAACTGGTGAAGAAATAAGGATGAAATAGTACAGTAAGTGCAACCTTGTCTGCTACTTCAGCATCAGAATCTTCACCTGCAATCTGATCAAAGCGGCTATAATCTATTGGAGGTCTATTGCGCAGTGATTTCTTACAGGTATTGCTCCTAGAAATACTGCAACCTGTGTCACTCTGGCGATCCACTGAACTGGATAGACATTCCAAAATTTCCACATCGTCGGCGATGCTCTGTAATGCTAAATCAGAACTAGAATGAGCATCAGCAGGTTTAACATCGTTTTGGATTCCCCATGATGCCGGGGAAGCGAAAGGTCCAAATCCAGGCGGAATTGAGGGTTCAGGGTCCTCGATGACTGTGGCTGCAATGCCTTCTGTTCCCATCATTGCTAAAAAACAAACGAAAGGGACTTTGATCAGCACAGCACGAAATGCATTATATCTAAGCTGAATAGAACTGACCATACAAAAATGTGCTACAACTACATATACTGATTCAAGCAACTTGCTGCAATAAATACCATAAGATTAAAAGAACAAGCCCACACAGCAACAAAAGAGCACGGTCATGATCAAACAACCTAGTTCAACATCATGAAAACAGATCTGAAACAAAAGGAGAAAAGGAACTAAAGAACAGTTGCAAATCACTTAGTCCCCATCCCAAAATGTTTTGCTATATATTGCACTACATGTCTTGTAATCTATACTACTCCCTCAAAAGTATATGCTTAACAGCGTAACTATAGTATAATAACTAGATCCACCAGCATCATAAGTTCCAGAACATCTCCACAGTAAATCCAGAAGAGCACCAATCAAGCATCATTCAAGGATGTAACACAACCAATCAATTTTAACTCCACACCAACATACTAGCTTCTAGATCATCTACAGGCAAATCCAGGAAACCACCAACCAAGCATCACCACAAGGGATCAGAATGCAACTAATCAAATCGCTCAGAGAAGAAGCAATCAAGCAGCGCAGCTGCCTCCCGGATGATCCAGCAGTGGATCTAGGGTTCGTTGGCCGTACTACGCGGTGCTGGTGATGCCTAGTGACGATCGAGCCGTTCGGAGGAGGGGACGGGCGGTGGAGGAGGTACCTGAGAGAGCATGGAGGCGCAAGCGCAAGGCGGCGGCGGGAAGCAACCGGTGACGACGGATGAGGACGAGGCTCGAGGGAGTCGGCTGTATCGAGGACTCCGGGTTAGCTCGCCAGCCGGTCGGGAGCCGGGAGTGACTCGGCACGATACTACTATACAGTGAACATTTTGTTTTTTCTCAAACTAGATATATGTCCCTACATTGCACCAAACTATCTTAAATTTAACTAAATTTATTTAAAAGATATTAACGCTTATCATATTAAATAAGTAACTGAATTGTATTATTTATTTTAAAGATGAATGAAGTACGTATATTTACTAACGATCTAGCTTTTGATTTATGAGTGTATAACGACAAACTTTTAGTCACATCTATGACGAAAGATTTTATCATTTGGCCTTGTCCCTGCCTTGCTCAAGATTCATACTTGAGAAATGAATGACTCGAGCAGTGGCGGAGCATAGGGTGTATTTGGTTCGCTTCTTCGCCGAGTCTGGCTAGCAAAACTAAGCCTAGGCAATTTTAGCCTGGCTTGTGCAATACAAGATGCACTTGTTTGGTTGCATTCTCTGCCTAAGCCTAGGTTAAAAATCATATGTTTAGTTGGTTGCTTTTCTTTGCATACAATCACCGTATCTTTCAGCTGGTATGGTTACCCATTTTGTCAAACACTTGGTAGGCATGTTACCGGCGGTGCCCCTGCCCGTGCAGCTTTAGGACGCGAGGAGCTGGCTGAGGACGCGAGGCGGGTTGCGAGGTCGGAGGCGAGGTGGGCGACGAGGTCCTCCTCCGTGTCGTGCTCCACCTCCGTTTCCCCAACGACGTCGTGCTCCGCCTCGGCCTCCCCCTCGACGGAGCCAACGGTCCTCAGCGCCGCCGTGTTCGTTCTCTTCTCCGGTGGGTCTGCGGTGGAGGACGATCTTTGCGATCTTGTGGCCTTGGGGTCGTGACTCTGAGCCCACCGTGGAGGCATCTTGGGCCCCCCGCCGCCACGAGACCACCATGGAGGAGCGCCGCGACGAGTTTGAGTGGAGGTGGGGCGTCGGCGCCACGAGCTTGGTGGAGGTGGGGCGTCGGCGCATGAGCATGGAGGACCGCCTTGATTACAGCGATCTGGAGCCGTGTGCCATGGCATGAGGAGGTGGAGGGAGGTAAGGACGAGTGAGCAGTGGCGGCACTAGCAAAGACCGAGGGAGGTGAGGCGATTCCTTCCTCGGCCTAAGCGCAAGGCGAGGCAAACAGAAGCAGCGATCCCTCGCGTTCCGATAAGCCGAGCTAAGGAACACCTTTTTGCATTAGCTAAGCCTGGCTAGGGACCCTGAACAGGCAACCAAACAAGCAAAAGCTGCATCTGGGAAGCCTGGCTAGGGGCTAAACCACCCAACCAACATGCCCTTAGTAGAGCGAAGCTAGGCTTCGCCTTGCTCAGCGCTGTGACAACAGATGCTCCTGTCAATTGCCAGCTTGAAGATAAGACGCATGACGAGACCAAATTCAGAATTCAAACATCTTTAAAAAAACAATCAGGACATGCACAATTGATCAAGGCATGATGGGATGATTGATCAAATAATAATGTTCTTATCCTTCGTGTTATTTGTGTAAGATAGTACTACAATCGTCAGGGGCGTATCTAAAGGGGGGGCTGGGGGGCTCCAGCCCCCCTACAGCTGGTGCATCAATGAAAATATGGGGAGGGTGAGGGAGAAGAAGAGGTGGAGGAAAAAAGAAAAATAGAGAGAGAGGAAGAAGAAGAGACCAGCTCCTCTTCAATCATGTTCTGCATCCGACACTGACAACCGTTCAAAACGAACTACGCCAACATGGAAGGAAAAGTAACTCTTTAGACCACCGCACACTACAGGCATTGATCACACCATCGCGACACTACCAAACCTGACGCCGGTCAATTAGTTCATCTTTCTGCAATTCACCCTGACCCGCCCTTCAGACCAGTGACGAATGTCCGAATTTTTTACAATTTGGCCCTTTTTTGAAAGTTTCTCACAAATAGACCCCTGGCGGAAAGAATTCAGGAAATGGACCCTTAGCTCGGCGCCATTGATGCTGGCACCGAGCTAGGCGCCAGCGTCTCTGGTGCCGAGCTCCTGGGCACAGTCGATGACCTGCCAGGGGGCTCGGCGCCAGAGTGACTGGCGCTGAGCTCGGCGCCGTAGATCTTGGCGCCGAGCTCGGCGCCGTAGTGACTGGCACCGAGCTCCCTGCATTTAACCCCGGCCCAACCTTCCTGCCCGAGCGTTCTTCCTCTTCTTTCTCCTCCCTCTCGGGTTTTTCTCTCCTCACTTCATCCTACCTCACGAATCGTCATATTGGACCTTGAAAACCTTGATTTGATCCGTAGATCTTCGAGAGCAAGGTATCCTCGCTCCCCTCCTTGTTTTTTTTGATCGATTCGGTATATATTAGTCGGATTTTTGAACCTAAGACTCGTCATCACTTAGGGTTTCATTGTATCCCTCAATATATGTATTATACAACCGTATGTTGATTCCAAGGCGTGGAAAAAGCTAGCAAATCTAGGCGCATGTAGTTATGTTATGGGTTCATTGTTGTGGATCAAATGAGAAACCCTAGGTTTAGGGTTTAATGTTAACTGCTTTCGGTTCTTAGAACGAAATTGGTTGTATTGTATTTATGGTTCTCATTGATATTTATTTGTGATGTTTTGATTTATGTTTGTTAAATTACATCCGTTTTGTTAGATGCAAGAAATGTTTCGGGAGGAGTTTTAGCGAAAACGGGGTCGTCCTTGAGAATTATACACCGACGCGTCTAGCAAAGATGCCCCTGTCCCTCCTGACCTTCCTATCCCTAACTGTGACTGTGGTTTCCCGGCCTATGTTTTTCAATCGAAACATCTGGACACAACAGCGCGTTGCTTCTACACATGTAGTCGGTTTAATGTAAGAAATTGTTTGCACTATCCTTTTTCTTTATTTGTGTAAGTATGCTACTAATATTTTGTTGGAATCTCGTTGTGTAGGACCACGAGAGGTGCTTTTTCTTTCAGTGGATCGATGGTGCAGACAAGTTTGATCCTAGGTACCTCTTTTTCGACGATTGGTTTAGAGGGAGACATCCACGTGAGCACTTCAAGCGGTGGGTTCCACCTCCCCCCTAACCCTCCGCCAATGACGGCTAAGGAGAAGTACCTAGCCATAGTTAGACGACTCGAGGAACCTCCTCTATGTGATTGCGGAGATCGAGCTATGATAAACCCTAAGAATACGTTGGAGTTTGTGTGTCCAAACAAGCATGAAGTAAGTGCAAAGTGTATGTGTTGAAATCTTGAGCTATATGTGTTCATGCACTAATGTCTCATTATTTAGGTGTTTTCAATGGCGAAGTGTCATTTTAAGGAGTGGTTGTATGGTCATAAGAACCAATGGCCGGAAGAACCACGGAGGGTTAAGGAAAAGAAGAAAGAAAGGGTAATCTACAAAGCACCTCCTGTCATGTGCGAATGTGCTGTAAAATCCAACTATGGCCTAGTCCATTCGGAGCTTGGAATAGGCCATTATTGCGGCCATATGATTGAGTATGATGAGGTTCGTTATTTTCCTGGTAAACATGAAATCGTATTTTGTTTGTTTTGCTAAGACATATATGATATAATATTTCTTTTGAACAGAGCACTAGGAAATACAGTTGGGAATGTTATGATGGTCAAGCTAAGTTCTTGGATGAACTGAAGAAGAGGCAACTAATTGCACGGAAGAGGGGATATGGACCTGACTACGTCAACCTATTCATTAAACATCACAAAGAAAAGATGCGTGACTTTGCTAGACAGCGCGGTATTTGTAACCCGATCGATGTTGGGCTTAATAAATGGGGATTGGAGAGGCGGATGACATTAGAGGAGGAGAGGGCAAGGAATGAGGCAAGGGAGGAGATAAGAGTACAGATGCAGGTCTTGAACGAGCATGTTGCTACATTATGTGCTAGTGAGTGCTTGAAAACCTTTTTTTCGTTGCCTGGTTTTAAATGTAATATAATCGCGTTGCTAAATGATTGCATTTTATACATGAAGGGATTGGTTGCAGCAGGGAACATGCCGCAGAGGTGGCTCGTGCAAGGTATGAGGAGAAGTTAGATGACCATAGATCGCGAGCTAGTCGCACCGTTCAATCACCGATTGTGTTGTCTGATTAGGGAGACGAGGATGAGGATGACACTGCCAGACTGAGTGAGCTCATTGCTCTAGCAGAGGCGGGCATACAGACGCAGGAGGCTGAGGACGACACTGGC